GGCTGAGTAATATTCCATTGTATATATGGACCACATCTTCTTTATCCATTCATCTGTTGAAGGGCATCTCGGCTCTTTCCAGTTTGGCTATTGCGGACATTGCTGCTATGAACATTACCCCTGTCCTAGTTTTAAAAAAATTGTCAGCCACCATCTTCCACTTATTTCTCCTTAAAAGCTTGTAGTTAAAACCTAGTTAAAACAAGTGCTAAGAACAGAGACTTTTCTTCTTAGGTACAGCCCAAGTAGATAACATCCCAGAAAGTGTGCAAAAGGGAGTCATTCAAATCAGTGGCCTTCTAATATGATACCTTCCCATTTGCAATTTCCTGTCAGAAAGAGCAACGAAATGCCAAGGAAGCTGGAGGAAACTACACTCCAGCATTGACTGAGCAGGAGGTCTATGCCCAGGTGGCTCGTCTTTTTAAAAATCAGGAAGATCTGTTGTCAGAGTTTGGACAGTTCCTACCAGATGCCAACAGCTCTGTGGTAAGTTTTACTTAGAAAGAACTACACTATTTAGAATTATTATCTTAAGTAAGTTAGGAAGCTGGAAACAGAAGCTGACTTTTTTTAAATGATATAATTTCTTTCATGTGTCTTACTTAGCTTTTAAGCAAAACAACTGCTGAGAAGGTTGATTCCGTGAGAAATGACCATGGAGGCACTGTGAAGAAGCCGCAGCTGAACAACAAGCCACAGAGGCCCAACCAGAACGGCTGCCAGATCCGTCGGCACTCGGGATCGGGAACCACCCCTCCGGTAAAGGTGAGAGTGGGCGGCGGCTGCACAGTCTGACTCTCAGGAGCAGTTCTCATGGACAAGTACTCTAGGGTTGTTCACGGGTTCTTATCCAAGCGTGTTGAAAGTTGGATCATGGATACTCAGAGTGAGTTGGTGTATGTCACAGAAACTCAGTGCAAAGCTTCTTATCTGGCTTTGCAAAAGAATGTTAGGATATCACTGATTACACAAATTACTGAACTTTTTGAGTTTTTATTGTTTTCTCTATATTTTTTCTCTTCTTTGCTATTAGCCATCATGTCTTTTTTTGTTTGATGCTAAAGGTTTCTGAGACCTACTAATTTTTCCCTTCCTCTGACTTGGTGCCTTCAACCTGCCTTGTGATAATAAGGAAGATTATTAAGCTAATTGTTTCAGAAATAAGTCAAGTGGTCTCTAAAGTCCTCCTGTGAGTAAAGTGTGTATACTTTGTGAGATCTCTTTGGTCTAGAGGCCCATCCTGCCCAGGTTTCTTTGTTGGGTTGCCAGATCTTATCTGTATCATCGTAATCTCCAAGGCAGGACCTTTGGGCCGTAGCAGCAGGGGATCTTAAATTTCTGTTAGTGATGTATCACACGATGCTTCTCGTTATAGTAAACACCGGTGGTCTGCCTGCGGAAAGCTAAGTCTGTGCTCTTCCACTTTGATGTAGTGCAGCTGTGTTAGGGACAGAGCTAGGTGTATGTACTGAATGTTGCTTCAGTGAATTCCAAAGCAGTGTGTAATGTGGAAGAGATGGACGTGTCTGCAGAATCTAATGAATGAATAATAAAAGTTAGTGGAATTTCTAACAGTAGGAGGTGACTGGTGAACAAGAAGAGGACTACAAAGACTGACATGTTAGGTGTTGCTCACACTTTTGAAATCAGACTTTTTTTCAGTGTTTGTAATGGCTTTTCCTTTTGAAAGCAAATTGAACGTAGAAATAGTTTATATTTCATCACTTCAGTAAAGAGTGTTATATGGGTAGCAAGAATGAGGTTGGCAGTTAAGCTCCACTCTTGCATTGGTCCCCGCCCACACTTAATTACCCTCAGGTGGAAACACTAGAAAGGGGGATTAGAATTCCTACTTACTTTTCTCCTTAGGCAGCCTAAGCAGCAGAGGCTTTGGCTCTTGAGAGAGTGCACTCTGAGGTGGTCAAGGTAAATGTGCTGTTTCTCCCAAAGTTTGTGCATTTCTTTGCAGGTAGTTGAGAGATGGCTTTTTAAAAGTGAATTCTTGCCTGACAGTTATGTCATGGCCTACTCATTCCTTTTGAAAACGTAATCTTAAATTGGTCCGAGTAGATCTTGCTGACGAGAGAGTCATTCCTTCTCTTAGGAAAATAAATTGTGCCTTTTTTCATGAATTTTTAAATTGAATTATAGTTACAGGTTAAAGATTGATTTCTATCCACTTTTGCCAGTGTGCTCCCACTCTTTGCCTCCACCTCTAAGAAGATGAGATAGTGGCACTAGGTTCCAAATAAAGTTACTTTGGCTAGTGGAAAAAGTTAGGATGTTCTGTTATCACAGTAATGAGGTGACCATTTGTAGAGAGAATATTTGGGAAATAGAATGATCTGTGAACCTCAGAGTGAGATGGAGAAGATGGGTGGAAATCTTTTAGGGGGTAGAGTGAGTGAGTGATTTGAATTCTCTCATTTGTTGCAAATTATTGACAGCAGTGGTCAGTGATGGACCCATTGAACACAGATGAAAATAAAACTCCCAAGAACGCTACTCCTTGGTTCTTACATGTTTGTATTTTTCCTTTTTTGCAGAAGAAACCTAAACTGCTCAGCTTAAAGGATTCTTCCATGGCAGATGCCAGCAAGCATGGTGTAGGAACGGAATCATTGTTTTTTGATAAGGTGAGTAATGATTGAATTAGATTTAATATAGGCTATTAATGCCAGAAGAAAATCACCATATCCCCAAGAAGATTTTGTTATAGAGACTTGAAGCTGATAGGACTTTCTGCCTGTTAACATAGTTTCTAAGTTGTAGGTCCTTTCAGGCTACCAGAACCATTAGCACAGCTAGGGAAATAGCATTGTCTGTTTGGGTTTTGTGAAGTAGTTTACAGCATTTCCCATGGTGGAAGACCGCTTTTAAAAAATGCATGATGTTGGGCGCCTGGGTGGCTCAGTTGGTTGGGCGACTGCCTTCGGCTCAGGTCATGATCCTGGAGTCCCGGGATCGAGTCCCACATTGGGCTCCCTGCTCAGCGGGGAGTCTGCTTCTCCCTCTGACCCTCTTCCCTCTCGTGCTCTCTATCTCTCATTGTCTCTCTCTCAAATAAATAAATAAAATCTTTAAAAAATAAAATAAAATATAAAATGCATGATGTTACTCTTGAAAGATGTTTGGAGCTCCCCACTGTATATCCAGGTCTGTACCAGTTGTTGAGGACTTTAGATGACTTGTAATCTTCTAATTGCTTGTGGTACTTATATGTGGTATTGCATATAGGGTTTGTGGGATTTCTGATATAACTATATGTTTTCAAAGTTCCCTAGGTGATCCTGATAAGTAGCCAGCGTTGCGATTACTGGTGTAACAGTGTTGTGTGATGTATTGGTTTAACTCTCCTCCTATGTCTGACTTCCTCCTTGGAGTCAACTTGATGACTAGCGGGCCGCTTTCGTCAGGGTAATTGGTAACTGTCGGACTTCTCACTGGCAGGAACCAGCCTGGAATGATCTGGTGCAGATTTACCCTGTCTTGCAACTTTGGGTTTTTTTGCAAAAGGGCAGGTGTTTTAGCATCTCCATGATTGGTACCTCCTCATCTCTCTCTAGCCTGCTGCACCTGTGTGAGCTATCCTGCCTAACAGTTGAGTCTTTGGCTCTGATTTGAACCATTCCTGAGGGCTTCCTGGGCATTTGGTGCTTTTTTTAAAAAAAATAAATAAATAATTTTTTTATTGTTATGTTAATCACCATACATTACATCATTAGTTTTTGATGTAGTGTTCAATGATTCATTGTTTGTGCATAACACCCAGTGCTCCATGCAGAACGTGGCCCCCTCAACACCCATCACCAGGCTAACCCAACCCCCACCCCCCTCCGCATTTGGTGCTTTTAAGGGAAATGTGAAAGCCCAGCTCACAACCAACAAATGACAATGAAAGAGTGGAGGGGTGGGGTGTGAATAAGTTAATTTTTTAAAGAGTGATGGTATTTTTTTGTTTGTCTTTGGAGTACTTATTTCTTAGAGACACATACTGATATAGTTGACCCTTGAACAATGCGGGTTGAAAATCCGAGTATAACTTGTGACTCTTCAAAAACTTACTGTTGACCAGAAGCTTTACTGATAATATTTAACAGTTGAGTAACATGTTTTGTGTGTTATTTATACAGTATACTGTATAATAAGCTAGAGAAAAGAAAATGTTATTAAAATCATAAGGAAGAGAAAATACATTTACAGTGCTGTATGTATCAAAATCCACGTGTAAGTGGGACACAGTTCAAACCTATGTTGTTCAGAGGTCAGCTGTATAGATGAAATGTCTGAAATTTGCTTTAAAATTCAGTGGTGGAGGAAATGGTTATAGATGAAATAGAATTTACTATATATTGATCATTGAGGCTGGGCAAATACATGGGGTTCATTAGACTATTCAGTCTACTTTTGTGCATGTTTAAAGGCTGATAAAAAATTAGAAGTCAGTCAATATTATGTATAGTACAAAAAGGACAGTTCTCTTTCATCTTTGGCTTTGTGAAAATGCATATTCCATGTAGTGTCTACTGACTGATAGTTATAGAAGTATACAGGAGCCTGGAGAAGGGGTTGTTGCTAAACTGCTTGGTTTGGTGAGGATCTGTCTACAGTCCTCACTAAAGGACCACAATACTAAATATTTACTTTCATTTTTTTTTTTTACTTTTTAAACTTTTTTTTACAGTTTTTTGGGTTTTTTTTTTAAGATTTTATTTATTCATCAGGGAGAGAGAGTGAGCACAAGCAGGGAGAGCTGCAGGCAGAGGCAGAGGGAGAAGCAGGCTCCCTGCTGAGCAAGGAGCCTGATGTGGGACTCGATCACAGGACCCTGGGATCATGACCTGAGCTGAAGGCAGACACTTAACAACCTAGCCACCCAGGCGCCCCTAAATATTTACTTTTGAAATTGAAACTCCACATTGCTCATCTAGTCAGGCTAGTTTTACCTTGTGTATGCCATTGACCATTTTTAGGTTTTTGGATGTTAAAGTGTTCAGTGTTATAAGTGGAGGAAGGAAAAGGATCAGTTCAGAGGACAGAAGTGTCTTATTTAAAAAATTATTCAAGATTACCAGAGTTTAAAAACAGTGTTGACAAAGATTCTTGCTGTAACCATCTGTCAGGAGAAGCAACAAAAACTAGGTAACTGATATGGTTGGAAAATCAAGCATATAAGAAGGTAAACGTAATACTCTAGGATCTCATTTATATATTTTTTTATTGTGGAACATTTTAAACATGGGAAATGAAGGAGCCGAGTGGAATACTCCTCATGTACCCATCATCCAGCCTCTGCAGTTCCCTCCTACTAGGCAGTGTACTTGTTTCATTTGTACTCTCACCCACCCTGGCTTACTTGGAGACAAATCCTAGATACTATGTTATTTCATCCATAAGTATTTAGTAAGTTTCCTTTTAAAGTGACACTTTTCTCAAACATAATCATTATCACATCTAAAAAAACTAACATCAGCTCCTGTAGTATCATCAAATAACTGTTTAAATTTCCCAATCTTTTTTTTTTAAAGATTTTATTTGTTCATTTGAGAGAGAGAGAATGAGAGAGAGAGAGCACGAGAGGGAAGAGGGTCAGAGGGAGAAGCAGACTCCCTGCTGAGCAGGAAGCCCGATGCGGGACTCGATCCCGGGACTCCAGGATCATGACCTGAGCCGAAGGCAGTCGCCTAACCAACTGAGCCACCCAGGCGCCCTAAATTTCCCAATCTTTTAAAAGCAATCTGGGATCTCTTGATTTCCCATCTAACTGTTTCTCTTGTTGTCTCCATAAGGTCCGAAAGGCTCTGCGGAGTGCAGAGGCCTATGAGAATTTCCTGCGCTGTCTTGTTATCTTTAACCAGGAGGTGATCTCTCGGGCTGAGCTTGTACAGCTAGTCTCTCCTTTCCTGGGGTAAGTGGAGTGAAGGGCTCAGCCCTGATGGGTGCTATGGAGGTGAGGGTATGTGATGGGCAAACATGATTTGATCATGGTGGGTCAGTTAGTTGACTCAAAATGTCAGTGTCACAGGAGTCCTCCGGGAATTCTTCTAGTTTAACTCTACGGATGGAAACATAGGCAGAGAGGGCATCGGCCAAGACTAGTGGTTTCCCGGTGCGCTGACCAGTGTTGGATGTTTATAGAGACCAGTCTCTTCTGGGGTTCTAGAATCTTTTTTTTTTTTAAAGATTTTTATTTTTTTATTTATTGAGAGAGAGAATGGTAGAGAGAGAGCACAAGAGGTAAGAACGTCAGAGGGAGAGGCAGACTCCCTGCTGAGCAGGGACCCCCGATGCGGGACTCGATCCCGGGACTCCAGGATCATGACCTGAGCCGAAGGCAGCCGCTCAACCAACTGAGCCACCCAGGCACCCCTGGGGTTCTAGAATCTTGACTGTATTTGACAACCTAAGAATGATCTGAGCATTAAAGCGGTCTTCTTGATTAGAAGAACAGCTGGTTATTGCTTAGTTTTGGTGCAACTCTTCCATCAATACCCTAACTGGTCTTGGAGTGCTCTACAAGAAAAGGGGAAGCCAGATGCTCAGAAGCAGGACTTCTTAGGCAGGAAATAATAATTGTCATTGGAATTTGTCCCTGGTAGCAGAGTTCTGACCCAACACCAAATAGTAGTAGCAGGATAACTGCATCGTGCTTCTAATTGCTCACCAGTTTTTGGTTTGATTCTTTAGGAAATTCCCTGAATTGTTTAACTGGTTTAAAAATTTTCTGGGCTATAAGGAGTCTGTACATCTGGAAACCTTTCCAAAGGAACGAGCCACAGAGGGCATTGCCATGGAGATAGATTATGCCTCTTGTAAACGGTTGGGCTCCAGCTATCGAGCCCTACCAAAGAGTTACCAGCAGCCCAAGTGTACAGGACGGACTCCTCTCTGTAAAGAGGTAAGGCTTTCCCTAGAAAGGATCAGCCCTCAATCTTCTCCTGCCTCCAGAAGGGAGTGACACCAGGGATTGAGAATTTATGTGAATGAGGAAATCAAGTCCCTTCTTTGTCTTTTCTCAGAAGAAAATGTTTTATACTACTATCCAGAACCTTTCCCATCTTTGCAAACTTGCTAAAGGTGAAAGCTGTAATGTTAGTCATTTCTCCCATCCCCTAGAGTTATGTCTGTCTTTTTACTGAGAATGCTTAATTACCAGAAAGCTTTGTTACACTTTAGCTTCAGTTTCTCTTCTTTTACCCAAAGGTTTTAAATGATACTTGGGTTTCCTTCCCTTCCTGGTCTGAGGACTCCACCTTTGTTAGTTCCAAGAAAACCCAGTATGAAGAACACATCTATCGTTGTGAAGATGAACGGTTTGAGGTACAAGCTCCTTTATCATTTGGAGGTTGTGGAAATGGGAGGCACTAAATGCTAAGATATCTTAAATATCTGTCTGTGAGGCTTGGCTTTTTAAGACCAAAGAGCCAAAGGCTCATGTTCTTCACTAGTAGATGCTTATTGTTCTACTTACAATGCTTTACGAGTTCATCAAATATATTAGTAGTATTTTAGGGCAAGTGTGACCTATCTAGGCCATTTTGACCCTTTTGAAGTTATCCATTGATGGCTAAATAATAATTCCTTGAATTTTTAACAACATTTTAAAGTTTATTGTGTTTTACAGGGTATACAAAACATATATATATCTTATATCTTAAAGCTGACTGGGCTTTCTTAAAGAGGTTTAATTATTTAAAGTGTGTATTGTCATTCTTAGCAGGTATCTTGACATGGTTAGCAAACCAGCTCTCCTGTGAGAACTGGAATTCTTCTCTCCTATATCTTGTTTATTTGGCTCCTTGTGAAAGAAAGCGAAATTAGGGCTTTATTTTAAAGTAGTTGGGAAGGGAAGAACTGGAGTAAATAAGTGAGCTGGGAGAGCCTCCGTACAGGAGTAGGAGCACTGAGAGTGGGCTCAGAATCCCCAGTGTGTTAAAACATCTAGCTCACTGATATCATCAACAAAAAGGGAATGTTCAATGTGTCTGAAGAGGTAAAATGTGTATCCTATTTAATGTATTTATTATATAAAAGTGACTGGCCCTGCTTATTCATATAGATGGGAGAGATCTTGCTCTTTTTTAAATCCATGCTGATTTAGCTCTGCCAGCCATTCCCCCTTCACACTTGATTCAGCTGTTTCTGGCATGTCTTGAATGAAGAGCCACATGTTGTGGCAGTCACTGGCAGGTGACTGGCCCCAGTGTTTATGAGGAGTTTCAACCATTTGCACAAAACGAAATCATGACAGATGCTAACTTCCATGGAATGTGTATCAGGCTGAAGAAAGCATTTCCTTGTTACCTACGTTTAGTAAGGTTAGATGAGGAGTTAGAAAGCAGAGATTGGCATCTTTTTCTGACAGGATGTTCCTATTCTCAATTGGTATGCCTGTAAAAGGCAACATCCGCATTTCCCTTCTGTGATTACAGGCATGAGGATGAAGGTATGTGTGCATGTGCTTAGGATTGAGTGGGATGGGCTAGTTTGAAGGAGCATTCCTTTATACATCAGGATAGGTTAGTGATCCTGCCGTGTGGACAACCCCCAAATTTCAGTGGCTTGAAAAAAACAGATTTATTTCTTGATCATGCTACATGTGCATTGATGTTTAGTGGGGGATCCTGCTCATCAGAATTACTTTGGGACACTTTTTTTTTTTTTTTTAATTTATTTGCTTGAGAGAGTGCACGTGCACACACATGTCCCAGAGCAGGGGAGGGGCAGAGAGAGCCAGGTGGGGGGAATCTCAAGTAGACTCCACGCCAAGCGCTGAGCCCCCCTGAGGGGCTCAATCTCAGGACCCTGAGATCCTGACCCGAGCCGAAACCATGAGTTGAAAGCTCAACCGACTGTGCCACACTGGGAACACTTCCATAGACATTTGGTCATGGGACCCTGAGACTTCTTGTTTACTTTGTTTTCTGTTTCTCATATGGAGAATCTTGTGTGAAGCTTAGGACAAGAGTTACTCAAAGGTTGCTAGTCATATCCTTAACCAGATCTGGGTAGGCCCTTGCCAGAAAGTAAGTGCCAGGAGTTCTGTTAGAATTTAAATGATTACTCACAGATACGACATTGAAGTCCTTAAGGAATGATAGTCACTGCTCTTATTATTACTGGTTGTAGAACAAGGCTATTAAACATTTAAATATTTCAAGTTACCCTGAAAAACCTTACACATAAGACTGATTTATCATCATTTATCATCTTTTGGGGATTGTTGTGTGTTTTGTTTCATTTTGTTTTGTTTCATTTTATCATTTGTAACAGATTTTAACAATCCAGTAAAGTTCAGGGGAAAGTGTCAGTAAGGTTGCCTCCTGTGAGGTCCCTGTGGTCTGGGGTCAGTAGTCCTAAGCAAAGCACACTGGTGTTGTTAGAAGTAACAACTACCACTTAATCTATCTTTTATTGGATGTTATGTGCCGGGCCTTGCACTAAACCCTTTATTTGGATTATATCGTCTAATCTAGAAAACAGCCTATGAGGGTAGGTGATGTTATCCCTATTTTATTGATAAGGAAATAGAATTTTGTATGGCTACTGTGGCAGAGCTAGGATTCAAATCCAAGGAGTTTGGCTCCCTACTTCATACTTTTGACCGCTATTCTTTTCTGGTTTGGGTTCTGAGCACACTTTGTCTTTTGAATTAGCTTGATGTAGTTTTAGAGACCAATCTGGCAACGATCCGGGTTCTGGAAGCAATACAGAAGAAGCTTTCTCGCTTGTCTGCTGAGGAACAAGCCAAATTTCGCTTGGACAACACCCTTGGGGGCACGTCGGAAGTTATTCATCGAAAAGCACTCCAGAGGATATATGCTGATAAAGCAGCTGACATCATTGATGGTCTGAGGAAGAACCCTTCCATTGCTGTCCCAATTGTCCTTAAAAGGTAATTGACTGAATGTGCCCTTCGTGCTTTAGTGTGCTTCATGACAGATTCAGTGTCCCATTAACTAAGGCCCTCATTTTCAACCTGGTTACTATCCCACAAGACCTCCATTTCACCCCAACACTGGTTGTTGGAAATTAGGTGCAGCATGGGATAATGGAGCTTCTTGATGGGGTTCTGTGTAATCAGCAGTAGAGAACAAACCTTGAAAGTCCATAGTGGAATGCTCTTTGTGTTTAAGGGAATATTTTAAAATATGGAAAAGAACAAAGTAGAACACAACCACTCACATTCCTGCCACTCAATATTAACCATTGTTAACATCTTGGTTTTTTAATAAGGAAAACACTCTTTTTTGTCTTTGTAAAATTGATGTTTATTTAAAAAGGCTAGCTTGCCATTTTTACCAAGAACGTCTTACTTTTTCCTCCTGCCAAGCCTTCAGCCTGAGGTGTAGAGGGGCTGTTGTACCCACCCAAGACCAGGCATCAAGGAGGCCAGAGCTACAGCTGAGCCCCAGTCTCCTCCAAGTCCATGGCGCTTTGCTGTGAATCCCAGCTAACAGCTGGGGCCTCTCTCAGTATCCCCTGCAACGGTGGTGTGAAGGAACTCTTGTCTGCTGCACAGCTCACAGATGCCCGGCTTTTCTTGTTCCTCCCTAGTCATTCGCTCAAGAGCTGGCACAGGCTGTCCCTCTTCTTGCCATGCTGGCAGCATTTAACTTTTGGCTTTGAGATGTAGGATACTCTTCAGTTCTAGTGCTTGATTTTACTCTCCTCGATCGGTTGTGCCATCAGAAATTCCTAAACTCTGTGTGCAAAGGAGCATTACTGTGCGAGTTCTCTGGTCTCGGAGTTCTGCATTTACATTAGCGTAGTGAATGTTCTTAGAAGTCCTGCAGCAAAGAGATGTGCTTGTTTTAGCTGGCCAAGGAAGTGAACCCCCTTTTCAAGGGTATTCTGTGGACTGCTGTTGAGAAATAACTATTCTAGGTAAGATTTCTGACTTTGGGACAAATTACCTCCCCAAAATAAGTCCTGGATGAGTAATTTCCTCATGTAACAGAGTTCAAGCCTGGATTGATTAACAGTATAAACAATTTGAATAACAGTATCCCAAGTTGCCAATAATTTTGACCTATTGTATCTTCTGACGTTTGAAATAAAGTAAGTCTGACACATTTCTCACTTCTAAACCCTTAGAGAGGGGCGCCTGGGTGACTCAGTTGGTTAAGCGTCTGCCTTCGGCTCAGGTCATGATCCCAGGACATGGGTCCTGGGTTCAGGCCCCACGTTGTGCTCCCTGCCCAGCGGAGAGTCTGCTTCTCCCTCTGCCTCTGCCTCTGCCCCTCCCCGTCTCCCTGCTGGTGCTTGTCTCTCACTCACTCTCTCTCAGATAGATAGATAGATCAATCTATCTTACTATTACTGTATATAGAACAAGGTATTTTTTTTTTAAAGATTTTATTTATTTATTTGAGAGAGAGAATGAGAGATAGAGAGCACGAGAGGGAAGAGGTTCAGAGGGAGAAGCAGACCACCCCCCGCTGAGCAGGGAGCCCGATGTGGGACTCGATCCCGGGACTCCAGGATCATGACCTGAGCCGAAGGCAGCCGCCCAACCAGCTGAGCCACCCAGGCGCCCTAGAACAAGGTATTAAACATTCAAATATTTCAATCTATCTATCTATCTTTTAAAAAATAAAAAACCCTCAGAGAGTAGGTGCTGTTATCCCTATTTTCCCAATAAGGAAACCATCTCATATGGCAGAGCCAGGATTCAAACCCAAGGAGTTTAACTACCTCCCTTAAAATTCCCACATCTGAATTCCCATGTCTTGTTTCTACTTCCCCCATTCCCCCACCTCCAGGTTGAAGATGAAAGAGGAAGAATGGCGAGAAGCTCAGAGAGGCTTTAACAAGGTGTGGAGAGAGCAAAATGAGAAATACTACCTGAAGTCTCTGGACCACCAGGGCATCAACTTTAAACAGAATGACACCAAGGTCCTGAGGTCAAAGAGCTTACTCAACGAGATTGAGAGTATCTATGATGAGGTGAGCTGGAGGTTTTTATATTTGTGAGAGGACCCCAGGCTTTATGTTCAGCACGGCTTTGATTCCTGGAAATCATCTTTGGTATATGAAAGCAAGACCTTCTGAGACATGTTGCTTCTTCAAAACTGCCACAGCCTTCTATTCCTGATTCTGCCATTTTAAATCCAAGCCTTACCTTTATTCCTGAGCTGCTTTACTGGTTTCCCAGTTTACCATCCTGGCTTTGTCTGTGCCTGCTGCCTCCCTCTTCACGTGTCTTTCCGTCTGTTTCCCTCAAAACGGTACCTCTTCTTCATTCACGTAGCCCCTCTCAACTTCCCACAACTGAAACACTTATCATTAATCCCCAGACACTTTCTAATCCGTGTTTATTCAGCATACTTACCAGGAGTGTATATAGTACTGGGAGGCAGGATACAGTGATGATTAAGAAATTAATCCTGTTCTCTTGGGGCTCATAGTCATGGGGAGTGGATAGAGACATAAGTACAGTATGATTGAGAATTCCTAAAAGTTACGTGATCTTGAATTTTTAAAAGCATTTTATCATGAAAATGTCAAACATAGACGGAAGGCGTGAGAGTGGTAAAATGAGCTCTTACATAAACTTAAATAAGCATCCCTGTTTTGTTAGATCTGTCACCTTCCACACACCGCCCCCCTCAGATTGGAGACCTCAAGTCCTAGACCTCATGTGGTATCCTCCATATCCATAAATACAGAATTTTGAAAGATGGTCCCAGTTTTGTCCCATTGTCCCCAGTAGGTCTTCACAGTGTAGAAGATACCAGTATGTTGGTGTCAGACCATGCCTCCTGCATTATCTGTTTCTGTTTTTGCAAGTTGTGGGTTGGAAGACAGTTGCCACTGTGGTTAATAATGGCATGTACTGCTGGCGCGGTCTCGTAGGTCTTTCTGTTGTTGCTGGACACATGTCACATAATACTTTGCGTCTCTCTCCTGTTAGAGGCAAGAGCAGGCTACAGAAGACAATGCCGGTGTACCTGTTGGCCCACACCTCTCACTTGCCTATGAAGACAAACAGATCCTGGAAGATGCCGCTGCTTTGATTATCCACCACGTGAAAAGGCAGACCGGCATTCAGAAGGAGGACAAGTATAAAATCAAGCAAATCATGCATCATTTCATTCCAGATCTGCTCTTTGCTCAGAGAGGTGATCTCTCAGATGTGGAGGAAGAGGAAGAAGAAGAGATGGATGTAGATGAAGCCACAGGGGCAGCTAAGAAGCACAATGGTGTTGGGGGCAGTCCCCCTAAGTCCAAGCTACTGTTTAGTAACACAGCAGCTCAGAAGTTAAGAGGGATGGATGAAGTATACAACCTCTTCTATGTTAATAACAACTGGTATATCTTTATGCGACTGCACCAGATTCTCTGCTTGCGGCTGCTGCGGATTTGTTCCCAAGCTGAACGGCAAATTGAAGAAGAAAACCGAGAGAGAGAGTGGGAACGGGAAGTGCTGGGCATAAAACGAGACAAGAGCGACAGCCCTGCCATCCAGCTACGTCTCAAAGAACCTAGTGAGTGCTTAGGCTGTTGGTGCCTGGACGATGTGAGGGGTTGGGGGGCCTCAGAGCCGAATTAGACTCGAGACTGCTTTCTTTTATGCATAGAGCACAGGCAGGCAGGCCTTAGAGCCTGACCAGGGTTCAGATCCTAGCTCTGGAATTGACTGGTTGTGTGACCTTACTTCAGCTCCCCAAACCTTTGTACCTATGAAATGGAGGTGCTCTTTAATACTTTGTGGGGTTGTTGGGATGATTGGGGAAACTATGCAAAGCACCCTGTGCAGTGCTAGGATCATGGACATTCAATGGCTGCTGCTGTGGACACCTGGGTAGTGGGTATCATTTGCCATCAGTTTCCCAAATGGCAGATCTCTGCGGTATTGCAGAGTGTGTTAAAGGACAGGGTGGGACTAAAATGTCACAGTCCATTCTGCTCCATGACGGAACACAGATTCCTAGTTGTTCATGCCTAAGACAGATGCGAATTTTCTCAGATATGTTTGGGCAGGACTTCTTAACCAGTGAGGTTCATTCCTTAATAGATAACAAATAGTTTGTGGAAAGGAGATTGAAAGTCGAGAGATGGTGTGAGACAGCAGACCAGACAGAACAGAAATGAAGATAGAGAACACAGGAAAACGAAAATAAATGTGGGCTGAGGAAGCCACCGTGTGCTTTAAGTAACTCTCTGTTACTGGCTTCTAGAGAACTATTCTGTTCATAAATTAGGTTTTTGAGCTGTGAACCAAAAACTTTTTCATGGAGCCTTTCTTCTGTGCCCTTGAAGAAATAGCCGATCTGTGGAGTGAATTATCTAAAAAAAATTTCTAAACTGTTGCTGATGTAAGAAGCCCATGTATGACCCTAACTATCTGTTGAGCTAATGACACTGGATATTAATGTTAAAATCCTTTATCTCGATAATCCTAGCTTGAGAGAGACAACTTTTGGATCTCAGAGCGGTGATTCCATCTGCTTGGGTAGAAATGAGAGAGCAAATGCTCTAATCCTGGCTTGATCACTGACTTAACCTGGTTTGAGGCTTACGTTGTTGGGTCTTTAGCGGTAACGCCAAGCCTCGCACTGATCATAACTCGTGGGCACAAGTCTGAGTTGTGCTCCTAGTGTTATTCTGGCTTAAGACCATCTGCCTAGCAATAGCACAGCCCATGCCTGTGCTGTGGGTCTGAACAAGGTGATATTCTGTGGTGAAAGTTAAGCCAGTTGCTTTTAAACTGTATTCTCTGTTTTGCATGTCTTTGATGAGCCCATCACACTTCAGGTAAACGGAGATGGACTTAGCTTTTGCTCTCAGCCTGTTTTCTCTTGTATAGACTTTACAAACGGGTAACCAGATGTCAGGGACAAAAGAGTTCTTGTAATTTTTTTTTTTTCCAGTTTAGTGAACTTTTTATCAAGGTGCAACATACATATAGAAAAATACACAAATCCAAATTGTGTAGCTCAGTGAATTTTTACGAAGTGAACACACCTGTGTAACCAGCACCTGGATCAAGGAACAGTATAACCTCTAGTGCATCCACGTCGGTATTATGCTAAGCGAAATAAGTCAGTCAGAGAAAGACAATTATCATATGATCTCACTGATATGTGGAATTGGAGAAACAAGGCAGAGGATCATTGGGGAAGGGAGGGAAAAATGAAACAAGACGAAACCAGAGGGAGACAAACCAGAAGAGACTCTTAATCTCAGGAAACGAACTGAGGGTTTCTGGAATGGAGGCGGGTGGGAGGGATGAGGTGGCTGGGTGATGGACATTGGGGAGGGTATGTGCTGTGGTGAGCGCTGTGAATTGTGTAAGACTGATGAATCACAGACCTGTACCCCTGAAACAAATAACACATTATATGTTAATTTATAAAGAAAAGAAACAGTATAACCAATACCCCAGTGACCCCCTCATGCCACCGTCTTGATTGCCAGCACTGGATATCATTAAATAGGTCTTATGTAAGTTAAAGGTAGAGTCCTTTCATGCTTCCTTTTGCACTCTGCTAGTTGCCAAATGAATGTCTCTGTAACAACTGAAAAGATTCTAGCTGCTGGTTGAAGTGATTCATGTGCAGCAAGTACAGATCATTTAATGCAATTTGTGAAGTACAACGTTGGGAATCCATTTTTAAACAGAAGGACTTTGACAAATGCAGATTACTTCATTATTCATAGGGGATTTAATTTGCACTCCTTTTTTCTGTTCCTGAGAGGTTTCCCAGGGCTCGAGTGTGGTGCTGTCTGCCTTTTCTCATCTGCACTTTATGCTTCATTGAAATAGCTTTATGAGCAAGTGACCCATGTGAGGAATGCTCTCTGCCGGCTGGGAGGGGCAGGTTCCTCTCTCAGCAGGAGAGCCAACAACTTTTTGAAGAAACTTCTTCCCTGGGATATTCTGCTCTCCTCTCAGGCAGCTCTAGTGTAATGAAGTGTCTTTCTGGCATGGACAGAGTGTTAGAGCCCCCGTTAAAGTTGCAAGGTCACTGTCCCCTGATAGAACTGGCCATTGTAGCCACCTATCAGATGTCACCTCTGGCTACGGCTGATTAAGTGCGTATGTTTGAATACTTAGGGTTCTTTCATCAGAGGCTCTTTAGGCAAGCTGCGGCGTTTCGCCCTGCCCTCTCTCCTGACCTTTTCGTAGCAGGGTAAGGCCTCACCTCTCCCATCTCTCCCACAGTGGATGTTGACGTAGAAGATTATTACCCAGCTTTCCTGGACATGGTGCGGAGCCTGCTGGATGGCAACATAGACTCGTCGCAGTACGAAGATTCACTAAGAGAGATGTTCACCATTCACGCCTACATTGCCTTCACCATGGACAAGCTAATCCAGAGCATTGTCAGACAGGTGAGGGCACGGTGGAGGCTAGGTTTGGTGAGGGAAGAAGTCCTTACCTAAAGATGGATGAGGCAAAGAGAAAAGGCAAGATGTCTGTTGGAGAAAAAAGGGCAGTTTGCTTATAGAACGATGTTTATGGACATATGGCTCTCTAGAGGAAAGGGGGGAGGTTAACGTGATGTCACATCTCTCATGTTAACAGAGTTGGGAGTACTTCAGCCGCTAAATGGACTCCTTTGCTCTGCTCGGTATGCCCTCACAGTTGAGTGAGCCTCCCGCCGACCCAGTGTCTTGCCCCTTTCTCGCTGCCTACCTATAGAGCAAGCATTGGTACTGGCCCCGCTCTTACCTAATCATCCAGTGGGGAGCTTTCAGTGGGTAACGCTTCCACTTCTGTAGGTGTTGGTGATTCTGTGTATTTTCCTCATTTAATATTTGAAGTTCTTTTTGTGAGAATGGTTTCATACAACATCTTCTATAATACTATCCCTACCTCCCTGTCTGAGGTTCCGCTTGACTTAGATTTGTGGTTGGTTTTGTGATTTGTTCCTCTGGCACCCTAGGAATTGGTAAGTATGTTCTTTACAGCAATGATAATTTATAGCAAATAGGTTTCCACTTTTGCCTTGAGTTCTGAATTTCTGAAGGGATCAGAATGTCTTGTTGGTGCGTCACTTTCTTTAAAGTGAAAACTTGGGGCGCCTGGGTGGCTCAGTTGGTTAGGTGACTGCCTTCAGCTCAGGTCATGATCTTGGAGTCCCGGGATCGAATCCCACATCGGGCTTCCTGCTCCTCGAGGGGAGTGTGCTTCTCCCTCTGACGCTCCCCTCTCTCATGCTCTCTCTCTCTGTCAAATAAATAAAAACCTTTAAAAAAATAATAATAAAGTGAAAACTTGACAAAGAAAATTCTAGAGTCCTCACTGCCACTATGGGGAATAAAAGCTTGTTGCTCAGTGTTTTCTTGGAGTAAAATATGGAATTCTTTGCGAAGTACCCAGGCTTTTGCCTTGATTTCGGGACGCATGGCTCTGCGTCCTTTTACAGGATCTCCTCAGAGTCAAGGAAGAACACTTCACGTAACTGAATCTTGGCATCTTCATGAAGGTTGTCAGGTATTCAGTTTTTTCCTGGAAATCGAAGAAGTTAAGAGGCCTTCCTAATTGAAATCATTATATGGGTACAAACATAAATATAAATATATGTAAAATCTAAATATATGTAAACTAGAAACTCCAGTTATCACTTGCTTCTGCTTCCAAGTGTGCTGCTGCTATAGCTAGAAGTAAAGTCTTACACACTGCCAGCCCAGCACCTTTAAACATCCAGTAGAATTAACTTTTATAAACCCGAGGTTGGTTTTTGAAACAATACATGTAATTGTCCACTTATTAGAAGCACCTGGTTATGATTTTGAGTCAGTAATACATAATGTCTAATCTTTTTAAGAAACAGGTTTTGTCCAGAAACCCAAATACAGTGGGGTTTTTTTTTAAGATTTCATTTGAGACACACACACACACACACACGCACACGAGAGGGAGAGAATCTCAAGCAGACTCCACAGTGACACACACACACACACACACACACACACACACACACACACACACACGAGAGGCAGAGGGAGAGAATCTCAAGCTGACTCCATACTGAGCACAGAGTGCGGAGCCTAACGTGGGGCTCAGTCCCTCAACTGTGCAATCACAACCTGAGCCAAAATCAAGAGTCAGATGCTTAACCGACTGAGCCACCCAGGCGCCCCCAAATCCAGTGTTTTTAAAACCTATGTTCATGCTTCTCATCTTACTCCTCAATTGGAGGCATATCTTCTCTCATTCTTCTCATCCTGTTTGATGTTCTCCCAGAGTTCATTGCTGACTGGAGGTAGAACATATATTTCAAGGTCAAGCCATACATTTACCTTTTCCAGAGTACAGTTGATGCTTGAACAACAGGGCTTTGAACTGTGCTGGTCCACTTACACATGGATTCTTTACAATAAATACGGTATAGCACTGTAAATGCATTTTCTCTTCCTTATGATTTTCTTAATATTTTCTAGCTTTATTATAAAAATATGGTATATAATACATATATAAAATATTTGTTCATTGACTGTTTATGTTATCAGTAAGGCTTATCGGTCACTAGTAGACTATGACTAGTTAGGTTTTGGGGGAGTCAAAAGTTATATGCGGATTTTTGGCTTTGTGGAGGGTTATTGCCCCTACCCCTCACATTGTTCAAGGATCAGATGTAATTTAATAGGGATTTGTCTTAACACAATAGGCGGTCTCACAGATATCTAGTACAGAATTCAGAAAATGGCCAGTGTAGGGATTGGACTGGGAAGTTTTTTTTTTCTCTTTTCTCTCTCCTGCATGCCTTCTTCCTGGAAATCTGCTTCATTCTCATGCTTCTCTCTGCAGATGGACATTTGGCCACGTACCCAAGGCTTCTCCAGCCCCCTGGGACTTTGGCTTGCCATGGCAGTGCCTCTGGCCCCAGCATTGCTTGACCTTTCCATCTAGATGCTCGTCTGTCTACCAAACACATTCATTGTGTCATTTTAAATTAGCAGGAGAGAGAATCTGAGCAGCCTAGCTTGGGAGCGTGAGCTGTCCAGTTGTCCCTGACTTTTTTTTTTTTTTTTTTAAGATTTTATTTATTTATTTGACAGCACAAGTAGGCAGAGAGGCAGGCAGAGGGAGAGGGAGAAGCAGGCTCCGCGCTGAGCAGGAAGCCCGACGCAGGGCTTGGTCCCAGGACCCTGGGATCATGACCTCAGCCAAAGGCAGCCACTTAACCAACAGAGCCACCCAGGCGCCCCAAGTTGTCCCTGATTTTATAGGGCTGCCCTTTTCAAAGACTCTAGGAGGGACCAGATATCCAAGAAGAGGGTGTGGATGGGGAATCAGTGACAGGGTCTGTTTCATCAAGACTGTCTTAACCAGAAGTGTCCACGTGATAGAGACCATGCTTTAGATACACTTTTTTTACAGTCTCCCCCCGCCCCCCCCGAACACTGTATCTTAAGCTTCTCCCTATGTTACCAGGTTATCGTAGGCATTATTTTAATGGCCACATTAGAACCCGTTGTCTGGACTAATTATAATTTAACCATCTCCAGTTGCTGGCCTTTCTACTGCTGACAGATCAGTCACCCTTCTGACCTTGCACTGTGTCCATTTATCTACAAATACACACACTTGTCATTTAAGACTTTAAGTTAAAAATAAGTAGTTGTCATAGTTACTAGCACTTCAAAAAGGATGTATCTTCCTAAAAATAGAATGGCTTAGTGGTTTTTGAGAATTTTAAAGTAAAACAGACAAATTGATATTGCATTTAACATTTTGCTTTTTTCTTGTATATGTTTTTCACATTCTCTGGCATTTTTTATGAGTAAAGTTTCATTTGAGGGAATTTTTATTCCTCCATAGAAATATAGTCATGACTATGAGAATGGAAACTCTAAAAGGTTCAACTTTCCAGTCATCAGATAGTTTAAGAACAGAGTCGTGGGATGCCTGGGTGACTCAGTTGGTTAACCGTCTGCCTTTGGCTCAGGTCATGATCCCAAGGTCCTGGGATCGAGTCCCACATCGGGCTCCTTATTCAGCAGGGAGCCTGCTTCTCCCTCTGCCTACCACTCCCCCTGCTTGTGCTCTCTCTCTCTCTCTGACAAATAAATAAAATCTTAAAAAAAGAACATAGTCTCAATAATTACCAACAGTCAATAGTGATTGACCTGTGTTGAAATTAAGTCAATTAACATTTACAATTTAAGTACTATATTTTTTATCTGATGTAGAAAAATAAGTAATGTATTAGAAAGAATATCCGCCTAGGGGTCAGGAAGCTTGAATATTAGTCCTAACTCTATTCCTTCAGCTGGGAACCCCTGGGTAAGTGATTCAGCAACCAATTCTGGAATACCAAGTGAGTTTCAACTTTGTACTCAGGCTGGGAATATAGACAGGGATCTAGCTTTCATGGTTCTCCACAGCCCCTGTCCTCACCTTGGCACACAGTGAGTGTTCTTACCTAAAATGGAAATTTGTCTCCTGTGTAACAGGGCACCCCCTCTTCAGCCTCCTGCCCGGGTAGTTGTGTAGATCAAATGAGAAGGAGTATGAAAGCAAGTTATAAATGGTAAAGAAGCACCATAAAAACAGGAAGCCATGAAAAATTTCTTTCATGTAAAATTTTTTTACGGTTCCTTAGAACTTTAAGCAGCACATTAACATGAGCTGCCTATGCTTTTGTTTAAGATTTTGTTTATTTGACAGAGCACAAGCAGGGGGAGCTGCAGAGGGAGAGGGAAAAGCAGGTTCCCCACTGAGCAGGGAGCCCCATGTGGGGCTTGATCCTAGGATCCTGAGACCATCACCTGAGCCTCTGAGACAGACGCTTAACTGACTGAGCTACCCAGGCGCCCTAGTCTTGCTTTTAAATAAATAGGAAAGCTATACTCATGGACCAGTGAACTGTTGAAGATTTGGGCTTAGTTATTCTCTAAGAATACGAAATACTGGTTTTGTGTGATTAATTTTCTAAAGTAACCAACCAAAAAAACTTTCTGAGCTGAGTCACTGGAACTGTCAAAGGAAGGTTGACTGTATGAAAGGGAGAAATATTTTCTTGGTTCACTGATGACTTGCCTTTGCTTAATTCCAGCTGCAGCACATCGTGAGTGATGAAATCTGTGTGCAGGTGACTGACCTTTACCTGGCAGAAAACAATAATGGGGCCACAGGAGGCCAGTTGAACACGCAGACTTCCAGGAGTCTCCTGGAGTCAACATATCAACGGAAGGCTGAGCAACTCATGTCAGATGAGAATTGCTTTAAGGTGAGAGTTAATCATGTAGTCAAGGACCATGCTGGTGACAGTATAAGTTGTTGGAACTATGTCCATCAGAAATCAAAGCCATGCCAGGATACTTTGATCCAGTGATTCCACTCCTGGAACTCCTTAGAGTTCCTATGAGCTCACTGGAGGGAATAAAAACATGGAAAAGTGGAAGTAAAAGACCGTCTCCCATGGACGGTCTGTTACTTTCTTGCCTTTTAAAAAAGTTGCCAAATATTTTTATAAATTTGTATTCTGCCTTTTTCTCTCTGGATGTTTTTTCATAGTATAATGCTTTGTAAATATTATAATGCTTTATTTAAAAATGTTAATACAGAGGGGCACCTGGCTGGCATATTTGGAAGAGCATATAACTCTTGATCTTGGGGTCATGAGTTCAAGCCCCATCACTAAAAAAAAATAAACTTAAATAAATATGCTAATACACATAATCCATGATTGTTGTAGAAAAGATAGGAAATGCAGAGAAAAGGAAAAATTGTCACCTATAGTGCTTCCCAGAAATAATTACTGATGACATTTCTAGACTTTTCTGTGCTTTTATAGGATTTGAAAGAGGGTATACTGGGCAAAATGGTCTGTAACTTATTTTGCTCAATTAGCAATATGTAGGTCTTCATCTTTTCATGACTGATATTTTATAGAGAATTATGACTGTCTTGTCATTTAGGTGTTTTCCATTTTCCACCGTTACTCCACTGTTTTTGCTAGTTAATAAAGCAAGTAGTTGGGAACAACCTAGATGTCCAATCCACCGTGGGAATGGTTAATAGCAGCCTATTGTGTGAATTCCAGGTGGCATATTTTGGAGCCTGTAATAGTGAATCATAAATTATAAAAATACTGAATCAAATAAAAGGATACAAAGCTATGTGTACTATGATTACAGCTGTGTAATGAACAAAACTTGTATGTATTTACATAAGAAGGGCAGATTCCTGTGGCCCAGAATAAGGTTTGTAGTTGGCCAAGCAGAGAGAGCTAACATATCCTTGTTAGATATGTTCCATGTACTTAATGATCTGACCCCAAATCGTCCACTTAGTTGTCTGCTTCTACTTTCAGCTATTTCTTTAGTTTCTAATCCATCACCTGTACTCTTTGCAGGACTGTTGTTTTTTTTCTTCAGGGTTTTAAACCTATAAATGTTTATTAGAAGTTTACTGTGTGTTTTTTCGTGGTGAGTGGAATTACCATCCCCACCCACAATGACTTAACAATGGATTACATTGTGTGGTGAAGGCCTATGAAGGAATGGGTAGACTTACCCTATGGATAAGAGTAGTTTTCAGAGTGGCAGACGGAATAGCAGAAACAAAGGCTTAGTAACCAAAAAAATTATGTCAGTGATCCTTTAAAATGTTCATATGGAGAACAAAATTTGACACTATTGACATTAAGCATAAGCAGCCCTTCAGATCTCCTGCCCACCCCTGAGCCCCAGCCTCCTGTCCATTTTGTTTCTGTGTACATCGTACACTGCTTTTTAAAAACTCAGCCACGTTGGGCGCCTGGGTGGCTCAGTTGGTTAAGCGACTGCCTTCGGCTCAGGTCATCATCCTGGAGTCCTGGGATCAAGTCCCGCATCAGGCTCCCTGCTTGGCAGGGAGTATGCTTCTCCCTCAGACCCTCCCGTCTCTCATGTGCGCTCTCTCGCTCGCTCTCTCTCTCTCTCTCTCATTCTCTCAAATAAATAAAATCTAAAAATAAAAACTAAAAACTCAGCCACGTTTAGCTCTCTATGTATCCATTCTCTCTCTCTCTCTCTCTCATTCTCTCAAATAAATAAAATCTAAAAATAAAAACTAAAAACTCAGCCACGTTTAGCTCTCTATGTATCCATTCAGACCCTCTTCTGTGCCTTTACATACATACATGTGTATATATGGAAATAAATGACATTAGGCTGCACATTCTGCATCATGGTTTTTTTTCACTTAGTATGGCTTAGAATTTCTCTGTTTTGATTTATAGAGATCCAGCTCATTTTTTCAACTGCTTTGTCATACTTAAAAATGTACCATAGTTTTAAAAAAAAAAAATCATTCCTGGGGGAAAAAAAAATCTTGAAAAAAGGGGGAGCGGCACCTGGGTGGCTCAGTCGTTCAGTCGTTAAGCGCCTGCCTTTGGCTCAGGTCATGATGGGGATCGAGCCCCGCATCAGGCTCCTTGCTCATCGGGAAGCCTGCTTCTCCTTCTCCCATTCTCCCTGCTTGTGTTGCCTCTCTGTGTCAGTAAAAAAAAAAAAAACTTTAAAAAATAATTTTCAGAAAATCATTCCTGGGACACCCGGGTGGCTCAGGACAGTCTAAGCATCCGACTCTTGATTTCCGCTCAGGTCATGATCTTGGGGTCTTGAGATTGAGTCCCATGTCCGGCGCACACTCAGTGCGGAGTCTGCTTGAGATTCTCTCCCTCTGCCCCTCCCCCCGCTCGCCCTTTTTCTGTCTCTCAAATAAATAGAATCTTAAAAAAAAAAAAAAATTCCCTTCATGGTGAACATTTAAACAATTTCCATTTTTTACTTTCTCAAATAGTGCTACATCCTAGTGCTTGTATCCTAGTGCACATATGTTAGAATTTGAGGTGGAGACCAAGAAATGAAATCACGGGGTCAAAGGGTGTGTATATTATACATTTTAAATAAATATACACACACACACACACACACACACACATATATTAATTTTTGTTTTAAGTAGGCTCCATACCCAACATGGGGCATGAACTCAGGACCCTTAGATCACAAGTCCCACGCTCTACCAACTGAGCCCGCCAAGTGTCCCTGAGTGTTACATTTTAATGGAGAATGCCATTTCACTCTCTACAGTTACAGGCTGTATATACTAGAGTACTCTTTTTCTTTTCTTTTAAGAATTTATTTTTTTATTTTTTTGAGAGAGCACGTGAGCAGGGGCAAGGGCAGAGGGAGAGAGGGATTCTTAAGCAGGCTCCATGCCCAGCCTGAGCCCAGTGCAGGGCTTAATCTCACGACCCTGAGATCATGACCCTGAGCAAAATCCAAAACCCGATACTCAACTGACTAAGCCACCCAGCCTCCCCTAGGGTGCACTTCTGTAAGAGCATTTATTTCTCCATCCTTAGTTAACACTGGGTAGTAATCAAACTTCTTTATTTTGGCCATTTGGGTGGCTAGAAAATTACATTATTCTGATTCATATTTCCCCATTCTCTATCATTACCCATTTCTGTTTCCTTTTCTGTGTATTGCTTTTTTTTTTTTTTAAAGATTTTATTTATTTATTTGAGAGAGAGAATGAGAGAGACAGCACGAGAGGGAAGAGGGTCAGAGGGAGAAGCAGACTCCCCGCTGAGCAGGGAGCCCAATGCGGGACTCGATCCCGGGACTCCAGGATCATGACCCGAGCCGAAGGCAGTCGCTTAACCAACTGAGCCACCCAGGCGCCCTTCTGTGTATTGCTTATTCATATCTTTCACCCTGTGTTTGGGAGGGATGTATAGTTCTTTTTATGTACTTTTAAAAATAGGGTTTTCTCTGGTGTAGTTCTCTGAAATTGATTGGACTTCCCCTATATCCTTCAGTGGCCACCTGAGTGTCACTTCAGTGACATGAAATCATTCTCAGCTCGCCAAGGAGCAATTGTTTATTCCCATAGTATACTGCCCCTGTCTCTAGAATGTACCTTGGTAGTTACCTTAGTTGTAATGTAAATATAGCTGTTTTTATTCCTGTTTCCTTTACTAAATTGGGCTCCTCCAAACTGGAAACTGTGCTGTCTTCTAAAGGTACCTGATAAATAATAGACATTCACTGACCATGTGTTGAATGAATGAAGTATAGGATATTGGTGAAGGAGATGTACAGAAAGAGGGTCCAAATAGTAGAGGATCATCAGCCATGCTAAGCAAAAGGTTTGAATTTTCCTGTGGTTGGTGAGTGGTGAAGCATTTTTAAGGACTATCCCACTGGATTTGAGCTTTGAGGATCAGTTTGGTAGCACTGATTAAGGAGGAGCGGAGGAACCAGAGGTGTGTTTACAACTGGAGGCAGTTACCATTTGGGTGATGGATATGGGCAGTCAAATAATGAGACTAGTCAAGACTTGAGGGAGTGGTTGCCCAGTTGCGAGAACCAGGGTAAACGCATGGTTAAGGGCCTAACAAGACAGGTGACAGGTGGAGGAACCTGTTGGGGGTGAGATTAAATTCAGTTTTAAGTAAAAAGGAGACAGTCTCCTCAGTATCACTTTAAAGACTGGTTTCCTTAAGCAGTAGGATAAATCTTGACACTCTAGGTCATCCTAGATCAGGTGGGGAGGAGCAAACTCCTAGGGACAGTTTTTTAAAATCTATTTTGGAAGTAACTGTGTTTGTATTTATGTTGCATGTATTATGTTCTTGTCATGTTTTAAATTTTACTAGCAGGTAGGAATTTTTAAAGCTTCTCTGAAAGAACACTTGGAACCAGAACTGGCTTCTGGTCCTGTTTACTTACTCAGTGGACTTGAGAAGTGAGAACTCTGATTTTTAGATTTTTCCCTGTGTAAAATGAAGAAGGTTGAAATAGATGCTTCCTTGTAAAATGATCTTCTCCATGTGATTTGGACAGTGATCTTACCTGCAGTAAGCCATTAGGATAAGGACATTGAAAATCTTGGGATTCTGACAGGGGAGGTCCCATGTGCCACCACCATTTGATAGTTTTTTATGCAAAGCATGACTTGTTTTTTGCTTCTAATCAGTGTATTACTTTTATTTTTTTTTTAAGATTTTATTTAATTGACAGAGAGAGAGAGAGGGAACACAAGCAGGGGGAGTGGGAGAGGGAGAAGCAGGCTCCCCGCCGAGCAGGGAGCCCCATGCGGGGCTTGATCCCAGGACCCTGGGATCATGACCTGAGCCGAAGGCAGTCACTTAACCAACTGAGGCACCCAGGCGCCCCCAGTGTATTGCTTTTAAATAGGAATTTTTTTTAAAATCATAACAAATGGGCGCCTGGGTGGCTCAGTTGGTTAAGCGACTGCCTTCGGCTCAGGTCATGATCCCGCAGTCCCGGGATCGAGTCCCGTATCGGGCTCCCTGCTCGGCAGGGAGCCTGCTTCTCCCTCTGACCCTCCCCCCACTCCTGTACACCCTCTCTCTCATTCTCACTCTCTCAAATAAATAAATCTTTAAAAAAAATAATAAAAATAAAAATCATAACAAATGTTAGAAATCAAAATTTTGAGAACTTCAAATATGATTGATACCATTACAGCAGATCACTTTGTTAATACGTTGATGCTTTGTATTCCTTACATCACAGTGTGTATGATGGCTTGTGTAGTCTTTTTATTTTATTTTAAGATTTTATTTTTAAGTAATCTCTACACCTAATATGGGGATGAAACTTGCAATCCAGAGATCGACTATCACATGCTCTACGACTGAGCCAGCCAGGTGCCCCCTTGGGTGGTCATCTTTATGGCGGTAGAATTGATGGCTGCTCTCTGTTGGGTTCGATGTTTTCTGCTTCACTTTAGTATAAGAAGTTCCTTTTCCTTTTCTTTATTTCCTTTTCTTCTCTTTTTTCTTTCATGCTTGTTTTTGTATTAAGTTCCAAAAATGGGATTATCGGGTAAAATGGCATTGACATTTTATGGTTCTGGCTTTATGCTATATTTCTTACCAATGAACAAAATAAGTTTAAAACACTCTTCCATTGATTATTGCTTCAGCTAATACAAGAGGTACGAAACATGAAATCGTACTTTTTGCTCTAACCTTTCATTGTACTGGTAGCAAGATTGGACTTTTGCCTTTTTTATCACCTGTCTCCTAAACTTTGGAGTACCTGCTTCATCTCTTCAGTTAGAGTGAAGTTTTATAACTTTATTGCCTCCCTACCTCCCAACCCTTGAGTAGCTAGGTGATAGGTTTGGAAGAGATGGTCTTTTGTTTACATCCTGGTTTCTTATTTGCAGCTTATGTTTATTCAGAGCCAGGGCCAGGTTCAGCTGACCATTGAGCTCCTGGACACAGAAGAGGAGAACTCCGATGACCCTGTAGAAGCAGAGGTATGGACAAGCATATTGCAGAAACTGTGTGCTTAGAGAGCGGCCCTACCCTGAGAATCTGCCTCGTGACGGTTTCTAGAAGGCCAAGACAGCCTCAGGCGTGTTAAGGGTCAGAACCTAATGCTTAAAGTACAGGCCATTCCAGCCATGTGTTCCGCGGAAGTGAAGGGCTGCCTAGTGCTAGATATTTAGGGTTGCTGGCAGTCTCATTTATCCGTCAGTAAAGCCATCTCTCAGGACAGCTCATGGTTGGCAACGTTCCTGTTTTTCTTCTAAAGTATAAGAAACAACACATGAGGTACCATCTGCCCGGTATCATCTTGATTTTGTGTCATGTTTACTTTTTATTGGGATAGATGAAGCCAGGAGTTGTCAGCCCCACAGAGTGGATAGAGTGAGTCGGTTATCAGAGCTAGGCCTAGCAGGTAATGTTAATGAGAGACGCGAGCCATGTGTATGATGTTGAGGGGCTATGGAAGGGAGGTTGTTGTTCTGTGGGAATACTGGCTCCTGGTTGCCAAATCTTTGAAAAAAAATTTTCTGAGATTCCAGAAATCCAGATTTTAATGTGAAAGATACTGATTTTCAGACATTTGCCACTGAATGTTTTCTTCAACAACACCCTCTGTGGGGAAATAAAACTTGTCAGTGAGCCAGTCTCTACCCATTTATGACCTCTGATAACTTTTAAAGTATCTCGGACAAACTTTGGGTTTTGTTACCTAACAGGAATTTAAAGCTGTGTGTCAATACCAAGTAACAGCATGTCATTTTGGAAAGATATTTTTGATGTTAAAATTTAAGGGTTTCTGAAGTTTAGTCCTTGAATTTGCTAGACTACCTGAGGAGGATGGAGTCCAGTGTTTGTACTCTCTCTCCACCCCTGTTTTGTGTTTATAATCCTAGCGTTGGTCAGACTATGTGGAACGATACATGAATTCTGATACTACCTCTCCTGAGCTTCGTGAGCACCTGGCACGGAAACCAGTATTTCTCCCAAGGTGAGTGAACTGAGTCACAAATTGGCAGTATATACTTGCACAGGGTTGAGGAACAGAAAGTTAAATGACTTTCAGATCCTTGGTTTTCGCTTACTCAGTTCGTTGTTCTGTCTGCTGAACAGCAAGGACACTGAGGACACTAATTCAAGGTCTCTATGGCTGTTCTTCCATGAGCTTACCTGGAGCATGTGCCCCAAAGCATCAGAGAAGTGAGAGCTTTAGAGAATCAACGGTAACTTCCCTGTGTTGGAGAGGAGTATGTGGCGGAGTCTCCAAACCTTGATGATTCATGAGGAAGACTCACAGGACTCAGCATGTAGTCATACTCACAGTGATGATTTACAGTGAAAGAATACAGAGCTAAATCAATATGGGGAGAAGGCGTCTGTGACAAAGTCAGAGGAAACCAGGTGCAAGCTTCCAAGAGTCCTCTTCTATTGCAGCCACGTGGGATGCTCTTAATTCCTCCAAGCAACAAATGATGACAGTATGTTTGAAACACTGTCTACCAGGGAATCTCATTAGGAGACTCAGTGCCAGGGTTTTTTATTGGGTGATACTGTCTGCCTAGCATGTAACAAAATTCCAGACTCCCAGAAAGAAAGCAGGTTTTCAGATGAAACCACATATTTGTGTGAACAGTTTAGGTACAGTGAGCCACTTTTATTGCTTAGGGAATGGTGGAAACTCTCCCCAAATCCAAGATTCCAGAACCCAGCCAGGTGACAACCTTGAAAGCAGACCTTTCAAAAGATAGCAGTCTTACCAAAAATAATAAGATACCTGGGAATAAATGTAACCAAAGAGGTGAAAACCTATACTCTGAAAACTATAGAACGTTGATGATGGAAATTGAAAAAGACAAAGAGGTAGGAACACATTCCATGCTCATGGATTGGAAGAAGAAATATAATGTCTACACTACCTGATGCAGTCTACACATTTAATGCAACTCCTATCAAAATACCACCAGCATTTTTCACAGACCTAGAACAAATAATCCTAAAATTAGTATGGAACCACAAAAGACCCCGAATAGCCAGCCAACGTTGAAAAAGAAAAGAAAAGCTGGAGGTATCACAACTCCAGATTTGAAGTTATATTACAAAGCTGTAGTAATCAAAACAGTATGGTACTGGCACAAAAACAGACATGTAGATCAATAGAACAGAATAGAAACCCCATAATTATGTGGTCAGTTAAGCAGGGAAGAATATCCAATGGGAAAAAGACAGTCTCTTCAATAAATGGTGTTGGGAAAGCTGGTCAGCTACATGCAAAAGAATGAAACTGGACCGCTTTTACACTATATACAAAAATAAATTCAAAGTGGATTTTAAAAGACTTACATATGAGACCTCAAACCATAAAAATCCTAGAAAAGAACTCAAGCAGTAATTTCTGTGACTCTACTATAGCAACATTTTTCTAGATAAGTCTCCTGAGGCAAGGGAAACAAAAACTCTTGGGACTACATCAAAATAAAAAGCTCTGCACAGCAAAGGAAATAATCAAAACTAAAAGGTAACCTACAGAATGGGAGAAGATATTTGCAAATGACATATCTGATAAAGGGTTAGTATCCAAAATATCTAAAGTACTTACACAACTCAACACCCCCCCAAAACAATCCAATTAAAAATAAAAATGGGCAGGGGGCGCCTGGCTGGCTCAGTCGGTAAAGCGTCTGACTCTTGATTTCGGCTCAGGTCATGATCTTAGGGTCATGAGATCAAGCCCTGCGTCTAGCTCTACACCCAGCAGGGAGTCTGCTGATTTTCTCTCTCCTTCTGCCCTCATGCGCCGCCCCCCCCGCCCCCGCATGAGTGCGCTCGCTTGCTCTTCCTCTCTCTCTCAAATCTTGTAAAAAAAACAAAACAAAAACGGGCAGTAGACATGAACACACATTGCTCCAAAGAAGACCTATAGATTGCTGACAGGTAATATGAAAAGATGCTTCACATCACTGATCATCAGGGAAATGCAAATCAAAACTACAATGAGACATTGCCTTACACCTCTCAGAATGGCTAACATCAAAAAACACAAGAAACATCATGCTGGCAAGGATGTGGAAAAAAAGGCACCCTCTTGCACTGTTGGTGGGAATGCAAGCTGGTACAGCTACTGTGGAAAACAGTACAGAGGTTCCTCAAAAAGTTAAAAATAGAACTGCCCTGTTATCCAGGAATTGCTCTACTGGGGATTTACCCAAAGAATACAAAAACACTAGGTCAAAGGGATACATGCACCCCTATGTTTAGAGCAGCATTATCTACAATAGCCAAGATATGGAAGCAGCCTGTGTCCATCGATAGATAAATGGATAAAGAAGATGTGGTGTATATATACAATGGAGTATTATTCAGCCATAAGAAGGAATGAAATCTTGCCATTTGCAACAACATGGGTGGAGCTAGAGGGTATTATAGAGTATAAGCTAAGTGAAATAAGTCAGACAAAGACAAATACCATATGAATTCACTCATATGTGGAATTTAAGAAATAAACCAGCCACAGCGGGGAAAGAAGAGAGAGACAAACCAAGAAACAGACTCATTTAACTAGAAAACAACCTGGTGGTCACCAGAGGAGGTGGGTGGGGGAGTGGGTGACATCGGTGATGGGGATTAAGGAGGACACTTGTTGAGATGAGCACTGGGTGATGTATGGAAGTGCTGAATCACTATATTGTACATCTGCAGCTAATACAACACTGTGTGTTAACTATATTAGAATTGCATTTTTAAAAAATAATAAAGTAGAACTCTCTTTTGAAGATAATAGGGAAAACCCACAAAAGATAGCAGTCTTAGGTCTGCTATATTCACTTCACAGAATTTTTAAAATTTCCTCCCTATTTATGGGCAGTATATTGTTGGTCCTCTGAGGATGAAAATGGAGTTTCAGAAGTAGAAAAGAGGTTTTGCTGTAGTAGAGTAGCTTTCTTCCTTCCCAGAAGCTCATAATTGAAATCCCAGGTCTTAACATTTCCAGAAAGGTATTATCCCAATAAAGATGGTCACCTACTTAGGATAGTTTGACTTAAATGATTTTTGGACTTTACAGTGATACAAAAGTGAGACACGCTCACTAGAAACCATTTTGAATTTGGAATTGGGTCTTCTCCCAGGCTAGTGATCTGTGGTATGATCTTCTTGCGATGCTGGGCAGGGGCTCCAACTCCTGGTCAGCCTTATGAGCACGAGGGTCAAGAACTGACACACTTAGCACCATTCTGTACCCATACAGCCACTTCGTTTTCATTTTCCAGACAGTAGTCAATAAATTACATGACATATGCAACACTTTATTACAAAATAGGCTTTGTGTTAGATGATCTTGCCCCTTTGTAGGCTAAAGTGTGTTCTGAGCACTTTAAAGTGGGCTAGGCTAAGCTGTGATGTTCATTCAGTAGGTTAGGTTTATAAAATGCATTTTTGACTTAAAATATTTTTAACTTCTTATCAGGATGTAACCCCTAAGTCAAGGAAGATCTGTATTGTTGTTACTATTAGACTGAGTTCTAGTCAGAACATGGAAAGGGGGTGTGTAAGCAGAAGGGTCCTGCCAGCCTCCTCATTTCTTGGTTCATTTGGCAGACTTTGAGCAGGTGCTCTGTGCCAGGCCTCTCTTCAACAAAACAGACTTCGTCTCCAGGTTTATGAACTAGTACTGTAAACGTATCCTGTATTTCTCACCAGGTTGGCCAAGTTTTTGAAAGATTTATAACCTGTGTTGTAGAGGGTGTGGGCTAGGAAAGCACTTTCATATTCTGTGGGGAAAATAGAAATTGATACAATCATTCTGGGGCCAGGGCAATTAAAATGTATGGGAACTTTACCCACAGCTTTGGTTTCTAATCATTTGCCTTACAGCTATTATAGCTGAGGTTCTGTCTTTTTGGCCTTGAGATCCCTTATATTCCTAGGGACTGAATATTCCAAAAAGCTTTTGTTTATGTGAATTATATCAGGTAGCATTTTTTTAAAGATTTATTTATTTGGGGGGGAGTGTATGAGTGGGGGAGGGGCAAAGAGAGAGGAAGAGAATCTCAAGCAGATCCCCACTGAGCACGGAGCCCCGGGCCTGGCCTCCATCTCATGACCCTGAGATCATGACCTGAGCCAAAACCAAGAGTCCGACACTAAACCAACTGAGCTACCCAGGCGCCCCTTCATTGTTTTTTTTTTTTTAAGACTTTATTTATTTGACAGGGAGAGGGAACACAAGAAGGGAGGAGCGGGAGAGGGAGAAGCAGGCTTCCTGCTGAGCAAGGAGCCGGACATGGGGCTCGATCCCAGGACCCCGGGATCATGACCTGAGCCGAAGGCAGACGCTTAATGACTGAGCCACCCAGTCACCCCATTGTTCATTTTTTGAGAAAATAGCTGCCAGCACATACTCCAGGATGGCTAGTGCATTGTTCTTTCAGGTAAAAAGAGTGATCCATTTGCCACTCAGGCAGTGCTTGAGTGCTTCCCTTTAAGAATCCCATAGTGTTTTGGCACACTAGGGTGCTGTATGTGTAGTGCCCATTTTCCCACATAGCATATTAAAAGGATGTGAACTAAGGGGCTGGGATTTGAAAAATATGTTACTGCTTCATCAAGGATGTGTGTTTTTGTTGTTGTTATTAAGTTTTATTTTTTTAGGGATGCTTTGGTGGCTCAGTTAAGTGTCTGCCTTCGGCTCAGGTTCCTGGGATCGAGTCCCGCATTGGGCTCCCTGCTCAGCGGGGGACCTGCTTCTCCCTCTGCCTGCCACTCCCCCTGCTTGTGTTCTCTCTCTCTGGCAAATAAATAAAATCTTTTAAAAAACAAAAAAGATTGATTTTTTTATTTGAGAGAGAGCAAGGAGAGGGAGAGAGAAACTTAGACTCTACGTTGATCACGGAACCCATCGTAGGGCTCAATCTCACAACTCTTGAGATCATGACCTGAGCTGAAACCAAGAGTTGGACACTTAACTGACTGCGCCACCGAGGCATCCCCATCATGGACATTCTTAAGTGAAACCAGCTTACCTCATTTTTTTTGTTGTTTTTAAGATTTTATTTATTTATTTGAGAGAGAGAGCATGAGTAGGGGGAGAGGCAGAGGGAGAAGCAGACTCCCCACTGAGCTCGATCCCAGGACCCCGGGATCATGATGTGAGCCAAAGGCAGACACTTAACTGACTGAGCTACACAGTGCCCCCAGCTTTCCTCTTTTAATTGCCAGAGCATGGCCAGAGAATATAAAGGTTTCTAAGGACAGTTTGGTGCCACCAGCATTGTTAATCACCATTAGTTTTGCACTGCCAGTGTAAATGTTAACATAGGAAAATAAGTTTTCTATATATGTTTCAGTATTACTATGTTTTAGTATTATTATGAAAAACTATAGTTTTGATCTCATAGATCTCCTGAAGAGTCTTGGGGGCCCCCAAGGGTCCTTGGACCAAAGAACTGCTGTCCTACGGAAATACATGTATACAAAGATATTCACTGAAGCAGTGTTTTTTCATAGCAAAGTATTAGAAACAATATAATTGTCTGGCTGACAAGCTTTCTTCTAATTGCTTTTGGAGAGAATTCAGCTCTAAATACCTGCCAGGGCATCCATTGATGTGAATTGTCTTAACTGTGTAGGTAGAATACAGAAGTTATGTACCATCTCTGCGGGGGGATTGAAAAAATAGGCAAATAATCATCTTTGCTCCGTGGTTCAGGTGAGGAGCCCTGATTGATTCCTATTAAGGAATGGTTCAATTAAGGCATGTTACACTGCAGCAATTCAAGAGAATGTGACAAATCTTTGGTGAAATGAAAGAAATCTTCACATTAAGTGAAAAGTGGAGAATAATAAAATCTTTATAGTATGATCCTGTTTTGTCTTTAAAAGCATCCCAAAGCAGAATTATAGTGAGTGATTACGTATGTGAATGCAGAGAGGCCTAGAAGTGGCTACCTCTGCCAAGGCACATGGGATTCAGAGAATCTGGGGTAGGAGATGGTTAAAGATTTCTACTTTATATTCTGTGTATTTCTGATTTGAAACTTTTTTTTTAACAATGAAACCATTGGAGATATATATATAGATATATGTAACTAAGATGGTGATAACTGCTATAAAGGCATACGAGGGGAACCCCTTTGAGGGGACTCATAGGAATCTGCATCTGGAGGAGCTCTGATCCTGCAGGGCTTCTCTGCTTTGTAGGAATCTGAGGCGGATCCGGAAATGTCAGCGTGGTCGAGAACAGCAGGAAAAGGAAGGGAAGGAAGGCAACAGCAAGAAGACCATGGAGAATGTGGATAGCCTGGATAAACTGGAGTGTAGATTCAAGTTGAATTCCTACAAGATGGTGTATGTGATCAAGTCAGAGGACTACATGTATCGGAGAACTGCCTTGCTCCGGGCTCATCAGGTAAAAACCGGTCACTGGAATTTCTCCATACCTCTCCCTCCCCTGCCAGGCCCAGGCCTACTGCAGAGGTTCCTGACTGTCTCTCTCCCTTTATGAGAACCACCTCTTGGATTTGAGAATTGTCGAGTAAGCAGGTGTATTAGTCTATTAAAGATGTCAGAACAAAGGTCCACAGACTGTGTGCCTTAAACAACAGAAATTTATTGTCCTACAATTCTGGAGGCTAAAAGTCAAAAATTGAAGTGTGGCAGAGTTGGTTTGAAGCAGGGCTGTGAGGGAGAATCTTTTCCATGCCTCTCGCACCTGGTGTTTTGCTGGCAGTCTGGCCTTCCTTGGCATGCAGGTCTCCGCCTTCATCTTCTTCACATTGCGTTTTCCCTGTGTGCCGGTGTCCAGTGTCCCCCTTTTAAAGGGGGCCGGTCATACCAGACTCTAGGTCCACCCTACTACAGTCTGACTGCATCTTAACTGATTACATCTGCCACAACTTTATTTCTAAGTTAGGTCACATTCTGAGGTACTGGGGGGAGGACTTCAGCACAATGATTTGCAGGGGACACAGTTCAACCCACAACAACCAGTGACACCTCAGCGAAGCTACTCCCAGCTTTTGCATTTCAAGTGGCATTGCTTATGAATTCTCTTTGTTCTCACATGCTGTCTCAACTGTGAAAGCTTCCTGGGGCAGTTTTGTAGCAGGATTGTACCAGGCCCTGGGGCACAATCAGGAAGGAGAGAAACTAGGTGAAGTGATCATGGGGAGCTGGCATTCAGGCCCTGTTTGTGTGGTGGGGGAGACCTCCCTTAGGAGGTGACGCTTGAGGTTGGAACAGTGACCAGGATCCAGCCTGATGAGGAGTTGAGGGTTGGTGCTTTCTAGATGAAGGAAACCAGCAAATTCAGTGCCGGAAGGGAGGAAAGGACTCAGCATGTTTGAGAAACTAGAAGCATCAGTGTGGCTTGAGCCAGAGGGAGAGTGGCATACTTGGAGTTGAAGGGTGGGCAGAGACATCATCACTAGTCTCATAGACTGTGGTTTGGATTTTGTTTGCAGTACATGGGGACATTGTTGACAGGATGGCTTGGACTGCTGTCCATCCCAGTGGGGACGATTTGGGGCATGAAGTTGGAAAGGCAGAGAATGCTCAAAAGATGCTCTTGTCCAAGTGAGATGTGACTGTGACCCGGGCAACCAGGGTGGCAGTGAAATTGTAAGAATTAGATCAAAGGTACAATTTGGAGATAACAGTTGTCAGGACGTGGAAATGATCGGATGTGAGTAGGTTAGAGAAAGTAGAACATCAAGGATGATGCCTGGTCGTCTTGTTTTGTTTTGTTTTTGTTTGTTTCTGCTTGAGTAAATAGGCAGTTTAGGGGTATAATCTGTTAGGAAGGGGGTGGGGGCACATCAATCCTGTGTTTTGAACTGGTGAAGTTTGAAAGGACTAGAGATCATTCAAATAGATGTTGGATAGACTTCTCTCATGATGCTGTGTGTTGTATGTCTGATGCACATTATTTGAGGAGCTGGGTAACACCTAATTCATCTTTGCATCGCCTATTCTGCCTCACACATAGGCATTGATAAACATTTACTAGATGGGTAGGTAGGAACATAAACCTCCCCAGAAGGTCTGCCGTGTCCCATGCCCTGCTGGGCAAGGTCGGGTAATACCCTGAAGGGAAGGTGGGTTTTAAGCCCTTTGCCTTGCTCTTAGTAGGAGTGGATTTCCACACTGACAGCATGACCTAATAGCTGCAACTCATTGTGTCTCATTCGGGTACATTAGAAGCAGCTGGGCTGCTAGTTTAAAAATGCAGATTGAGGAAAACGAGGAAATCTGTATTTTTATCAGGTTCCCTAGTTGATACTAATGAATGCTAAAAATGAGAACTACTAAGCTTGTTCTGCTCAGACCCCATGTTGGCATTTCTGAAGGGGCTTTACGGGTTCCAACTCTTTACATGCTCTGTGTTCTTAGTCTCTTTCAGTTTTCTTCTTTAAACAGAGACTCCTAACTAACCGGTAGTATCAAAGGCTTGACCCCACATCTTTTCCTCTGCTACTTTAGGAGAAAATTAGGCTTTGTATTTGAAGAGGAGTTTTTTTGTTTGTTTTGTTTTGTTCATTGTTGGTTTTTTTTTCTTGCTCTGTTTTGCAGTCCCATGAACGTGTAAGCAAGCGGCTACATCAGAGGTTCCAGGCCTGGGTAGATAAATGGACCAAGGAGAATGTGCCCCGTGAAATGGCAGCAGAGACCAGCAAGTGGCTCATGGGTGAGGGGCTGGAGGGCCTGGTGCCCTGTACCACCACCTGTGACACAGAGACCCTGCACTTTGTGAGCATTAACAAATACCGTGTCAAATATGGCACAGTGTTCAAAGCCCCATAACTGCAAAGCCAGAGCAGATAACTTGAGGGGGGTGTGTGTGGGGAGCGCGTGCACTCACGCACACTGAAGAAACAAGGAAGATGCCTTTCAAGCCTCACTGGGCCTCTCTGGGACATGGCCACCTGATCAGTGTGTGGCTGGTGCAACCTGGCACCAAGTGGGCTACATATAAGGAACATGGATACCTTACAAAGCCGGAGCTGGAACTTTTCCCAAGGGGTTTGGGGTCTTAGCCTGCCCTGGAGGGGAAGGAAATCCATGCAAGCACAGAGACATGCAGCTTGCTTGCACACACCAGCAGAGCCAAGACTGGAGTCTCCTGGGGCCTGACCTTCAATGAAGGAGCCAGATGCTGTTCACACCTTGACTGGACGGGCGTGCACTGACAGACTGGGGAAGGACTCACCGCTCAGATGGATTGTAACTCTGATGGTCACTGCTCCTCTCCTCTCCCCCCAAAAGGAAAAAAAAAAACTGGATTTGATTTTTTTTTTTCCCCCCTCCTGGTCACTCGAGCACATCTAGATCACCCATTAGATTTTATCTGGGACCTGCAGTTTGGCTTTGGGATTGATCATCTTGTGGGTTTTTCCTGACGAATCCCTCGCTGCCCACCCTTTACACTCTCCTCTGGTTCTCAACCTCAGCAAGTTCAAATCCGTCGTCCTTTTTAGCTCCCGTGGAACTGTTTTGTACCTGCTTCTTTACTAGTCTACCCTAGTGCCATCCACCAGCTTTACTCTCTGACACACAGACACACAGACACACACACGCACACAATTTTAACTTGGTTTTTCTTTTTCTTTTTTTTTGTAAATAATGTACATACTGTCGATTTTTTATTAAAAGAAATATGCTTTGATGTGCTAGCATAACTGCTCTAGCTTCTTGTGTACCATAGTTCTATGTGGCTTCAGATTTAGTACCTATGAACAAATGTACAAGACATTTATTACACTTTTTACCAAAGGGAGTTACTGTTGTAGTACTTTTGTGTAAAACTTGTCTTCCCCCTTGCCCCAACTTTTTTTTTCTTTTTCTTTCTTTCTTTTCCTTCCTTCCTCCTCTTTCTTTTTCTTTCTTTCTTTTCTTTCTCTCTCTCTCTTTCTTTCCTTTTTTTTTGTAAATAAATAAAGCTTGGTTCTTACTTAAGGAATGAACTCTCAACCCAAGTCCCTTGTCCTCACCAGAGAACTATTGTGGAGTAGGGATTTGGCCTTCAGTTCCTTACCCTCGGCACAAACAGGAATTTGCTTTAAATAGTTACCAGTTCATTGCACTTGTCCCAAATCAAAATATTCCAAATTTTTAAAATAGAATACTTGATTCTTTTAGTACATGTTTTTCCCCTTATTTCAACTGTTTGGAAATATTTTCTATTTGGGTAGTTGTCTGGCTATTTGGTTTGCATTTCTCTGTGTTGTTTTTCTTATCCTTAATTGGAAATGGGGGTGAACAACTTAAATACCAAACCAGTATTTGTACTACACACCTTGTACCCCACGTGGGTACAAGGTGTGTAGTATAAATGGGGTTGGGAGAGAGATTTGCTACATTATTAGCAACTGCAAATGGAATATATATATTTTTTAATTACATAAATTTAGACCGGCAGACCAGACATTTAAACTGAGTGATTAGGAGTTTTATATGTCTTCACCCAAGAGTTTCTGAACAAAGACCAACAACCCCTCCCAGTACTCTGGTAGATTTATTCTCCATCAACCATTGCCCTAGTCTCGGGTGTAAGGTAACCAACAGTGTTTTGTGTGGTTTTGTTTGCTTAAAAACCCCCAACACTGCCACCAAAGACTACAAATTTGGGGGCTTCTGAACTTTAAAAACACATGGTATAGACTTCTCCAATTTTAGACCTCTTTGTTGCAGGGGGAAAGGAGACTCTGAGCCCCAAAGTGTAGGGGGTGGTAAAAGAGCCTTGTGGGAGGAGATTGTAGGGTGAAGGCACAGTGCCTGACTTGGAGGTACAGTGATACATGTTGATTGAGGGGAAAGATCTTTGGGTTTTCCCAGCAATAGCTCACCTATCCCCCTCTGCTCACTCAAGAAAGATCATGTTGACTTGGAATTATGGGAGAAATTGATGGGGTCTGACCAGGGGCAGCCCCAGCTGTTAGCTGTCCTTGCATTGTTACGTCCAGACCTACCTGCCTGCAGGTCAGGATCTGGTTTCAGGGCCAAGTTCAGGAGAAAATGCCACCCATCAGGGCAACCAAAAGAAGAGGGAGCTTCACCTACAGCCAGGGTTTTCACAAGCACCATCTTGATCCCTCCTGCCTTCTGAAAACTGAACTCCCAAGTCTAAACCCAACCTGTGTTATAGCAGCGAGTTATCTTTAGTTTAAATCACGTTTGGTATTCTGTACTTAGTCATCTTTCCCTGTGATTTGCACTTGAAATGTGAACTTGGTATTTTCATTAAAATACCAGGGCTAATGTGTATATACTTTATTCTTAGTAATGACTATAGACAAACACTGCTTGGCAATCCTAGAAGGGGGAAAAAGAAACTGCCAATGGACTACTAGGGTAAGGATGAAATTGGAGGTGTTTCTGGCATTGTGGCTTTTGAACTCTCCAGTCCTGTGTGGTGAAATGTTATTCAAGTGGGATCTTGAATGCTATGACTGTGATTGCCATCACATCAAAATATTGTCAGGGTTTCTGGTGATGACAGCTATATACACAAAATATGTAGGAGGCGGCTCCGGTTATTGCGGTGCAAAGCCCTCCCTATTTAACACATGTCTGCCGATCAGCTTCAAAGCACAGGTCCTGGCTCCTGGCTCTTCCCACGTTAAGCAGGTTTTCGAGATAGCACCAGAGGTCTGGCTGGGCCTGGAGAACTAGCCGGTTCCCGCTTGTGGCTTCTGAGCCCGGGTGACCTGCGTCTGCAACAGCTGGGGCTCCCGCCCGTCCTGCCTAAAGTCCCCGGTCTCTGTGTTGGGACTTTCGGAGAATCTAAGCGTCAAACTTGCCGTTCTACTTAGGGATTTGCCCAGTGGCTCGCCGGTTCGGAAGAGCTGGAGGAGAGCCTCGGAAACCGCATTCTTGGCTCTCAGCTGCCCGCTCAAAGTTCAGCGCGGCGGGGCTTCCGAGAGCCGCCAGTGTTCCAAGAAAAGCTGCCCCGGGGCTGAAAGGCGCCCTTCGGACGCCGGAACCTTTGGTTCCCGGCTGTGGGCCCCACCGGCAGCGGCAGGGGCCTTCCGGGGAGAGGAGCGGGCGCGCGGCGATGGCGGCGGCGCCGGCCCTGAAGCACTGGCGCACTACGCTGGAGCGGGTGGAGAAATTCGTGTCGCCGCTCTACTTTACGGACTGTAACCTCCGCGGCAGGTGGGGGCCCCCTCGCCCAGCGCGCCGGCCCGCCGCGTCCGCGCGCCCCAGCCTTCCCTTCCGGAAGGAAACCCAAGCCGCGGCCACCCGGGCCGAGGGACGAAGTGCCCGCCGCGTACAGGGCAGGGGCCCGGGAGGAGGGGTGGGGAGAGGCTGTGCTGGGGGGCAGCTTTCTCGGCGGTGGATCGAGGGAACGCGCATCCCCATTGCCAACTGGCCCGCGGGCGGAACGGGGGCGGCCTCGAGCGCGCGCCTACCCGCTCCTCCCGCCCAGGCTCTTCCGGGACAGCTGCCCGGTGGCCGCGCTCTCCAGCTTCCAGACGCCCGAGCGGCTTCCCTACCAGGAGGCGGTGCAGCAGGAGTTCCGCCCCGCGCAGATCGGCGACAGCTTCGGCCCCACGTGGGTAACGCCCGGAGGGAAGGCGGGGCCCGCGGGCAGCCCCCTCCCTCGCTCACTGGTTCGAAGGGCCACACCTCCACGGTCGTCCCCGGTCCTAGAGAGCCACTCGGGGCAGAGCAGCACCCTCTGCTGGAAGCAGCTCCCTGGTCCCTCATTTTCATGGAAGAGTTTTCATCCCCCCGCCCCTGCCTTCTCCCAGCACCTAGACACCCCTCAGGAAAACACTCTAGGACGGATCACAGACCCCTGACTTGTCTGCCTTTTCCCCTTACCTTGCTGCACACGTTGTTGCTCCTTTCTTGTGGATCCAAGATGAATACCTTGTGATGCTGTGGATGCTTGGAGAAAGTCTCATGTCCCCGCTGACCCTTAATCCAAGGCAGTCTGGCAAAAGGAAAAGGGCTTCGACCCCTAGGCCCATCCCATTGGCTGTCTTGCAGGTGGTGGACCTGCTGGTTTCGGGTAGAGCTGACCATCCCGGAGGCATGGGTGGGTCAGGAAGTTCACCTTCGCTGGGAAAGTGATGGAGAAGGCCTGGTGTGGCGAGATGGAGAACCAGTCCAGGTGAGTAGCCCTAGGGATGGGTTTGGCCCCCTTTCAACCCAGGTCTGTGAAGAAGGCACAGCTTAGTGGCTCTTCCTGCTGGGTATCAGAATTTCAGGACTGGGGAAGTTGCCACTTGGGCCCTCGTGTGATAGGTCCCTCTCATATTGGAAAGTTGAATGGATGGCTTATGGGTCTTAACATAATCATAGTGCTAAACCAACCCTGCCACCGACTGGCCACTTTCTCATTCTGGCCTGAAAATAGTTGCTAACCGAGTACAATAATAATAGATATAGCAGATCCATTTATTAACCCTCTACTAGGTGCCAGGTGCCAGACTAGTGGCTTTGCAGACCATATCACTTTTTAGTTGGTTTTTGTTGTTGTTGTTTTGTTTTTTAGAGGGGGGAGGGGGAGAGGGAGAGAAAGAATCTCAAGCAGAATCTGCACTGAGTGTGGAGCCCAACATGGGGCTCGATCTCACAACCCTGAGATCATGACCTGAGCTGAAATCGAGTCGGACGCTTAAGTGACTGAACCACCCAGGCGCCCCTATTTTTAGTTTTTAATAGACCAGTTTTTATTATACATAGCGTATACTTATGGGGGAAAACTTTCAAACAGTTCTGGATGGTATAAAGTAAAAATTCAAGTCCTCTTCCCCTGAAGTAATGGATCTCTCCCTATCACAGCATCCCCAGTTCCCCAAATATAACAACAATTAAGTGTCTTGTTTATGAATCCACCCATATCAGGTTTAATCTTTATAATCATATGTGGTGGGTCTTTATGCCCATTTACAGATAAAGAAACTAAAATATACAGAGGTCAGTTCATTTGCTCAGCTTCCATTCTAGTTAGACTAACTTCCCATCGCAGGGTAGGACTGTTGTTCTTTTGGTATGGAAAGATGGTAAACCCCTCCCTCCCCCTCACCTCTTTCCTTTTATTGGCTCAGCAGAGGTCTCCTGAGTGCCCTCTCTGGGCCAGGCCCTATGCTAAGCACTTGGGATATAGCAAGGAATGAGGCAGCCCTGCATCTGACTTTACATAGAGTTCCCCTTCAGATACTTACTCAGTGGTACAGGGACCACCAGAAGCCAAACCCACGCTTCATGTTACCTGCCAAGACCCTTCCCATAAGATCAGGGGCTTTTGTGAAAGCTGGCAAACAGGTGCCATTTGGTGATCATGGCACTTGGGCTGCCATGGGGTTTGGGAATGGGCTACCAGGGGTTCCTGACTTGCCAATCTTGGCCTTGAGTAGGAGAGAGGAGCCAGGCTGGGGACTAGGTGGAGAGCCCTGGCCTCCCTCGGCTTATATATTTCACCTGAACTGTCCAAAAGCCTCAGGCATTATCTCTTTCATTCCACTCCCCACCAGGGTTTGACCACAGAGGGGGAGAAGACCAGCTACGTCCTGACTGACAGGCTGGAGGAAGGAGACCCCCGGAGGTGAGGGAGTCCCCGTGCCCTGGTTGACCATGCTGGGGGGCAGGGGCCCCAGTGGGTGAGGAGGAGCTGAGGCCCAGAGTGAGCCAAAACGCCCACCTCCAACACAGGCATCCTCAAATCTCA